CAACTTGAACGTTTCAAGGCAGCATTTCAAAACTCAATGCATTCGTTTAAATTAGGCACATTTCCGTTTTGCGTTTAAAATTATTTATTAAAAAGTAAAATATTTTACGTTTTTTTATTTTTATTTTGATGTGATAGAATATGGATACTAAATTAAAAATCAAAAATATTTATATTAAATAATACAATAATATTTTTAGCCCATGGAGTGAAGATATTACTAAGAATTTGCAGAAATGAAAGAACCTGAGGAGATTATATGGAATCAATAATATCCTCATAAAAAACATTTGTTATGGAACATTTATCGGTTATTTGTTCCAGATATAAATATATAAGATTATTAAGTATATTAATTTAATTAGCTTAGCTTTGTAATTCCTTTGTTTTGATGCCAGTAATTTATATCTTAAGAAAAAATTACAAAGACCAACTTTATAAGGAGGAAGTAGACAGGCCTTCGGTTCACAAGGCATGCATCAATATAAATATCGAGAATGAGGGATATACCGATATTTTATATAGGATCGGATCGGGCCGATATGTCATTTTTTAGAATATCGGTTATCAGCTAATATTGTAAAAATTTTCTATTCGATAAAATGGGATCTTAATTTTTAAAAAATTTATTTCAAATTTTATAATATATTTGTATGTTGCTTATAATGTAAATAGATTAATGTTATTATATAAATAAGGGATTTATCAATAAAAATATTTTATATACTTTTAGATTATGAATATAAACTATAACTGATCATTATAATATATTTAAATGATTTATGTTTTGTTATAGTTAAATTATATAGTTATATTATAAGAAGAGTAGATGTATGTAGTAATGCAAAATTGCTCTATATGAACTGATTTTTAAAAATGGCTAACTTAGTATTTTAGCCAAATAAATATTTCTTATGCCTTGAGATTTCGCTAAGAGATGTCCAAACCTTTGTGCCAGCTATGAGTAAATCTTCAGGTTTGCGTAATATTTTTCTCGATAGAATAGTGAGTTAGCCGTTTCTAAAAATCAACTCAAATGGAACGATTCTGTAACACTATATGCATTAAAAATTAAATTAGATGTTTACGAATACAAAATTAGATATGATTTCGGATCAGTTATCGGCCGATGTCAATTTAATATCGGATCGGCCTCCAAAAAGTGGTATCGATAGTGGTTAAATTTTATGCAACTAACTATTGCTGATAAACCACTAGCAATATAGATGTTATGTCAAATTCAAATGGTATTAATAGATTAATAAATATATTAGAAGAAAAGCCAAGACTTATTTTTATCTATTATTTATTAATTTTTTATTTAGATATTTTATGGGTCAGAAACTTTAAGTTTGTATAAATAATTATTGTTATCAAATTCATTTTTTCTTCATCTACTAAAGGGGAATGTTACTTCATTAATACCTACCAACAAATCAGCATTACAGTGTTGTGATGATTTAATGAAACATATTGACAATTAAATTAAAAATCATCCATATAAAATTATAATCTTTGCAAAAATAATTAAAATATAGACAAAGCATTATTGAAATTTCTTTTATTATTCCTTTTGTTATTTTAATTATTTTTGCAAAGATTATAATTTTATATGGATGGGTTTTAATTTAATCGTCAATATGTTTCATTAAATCATCACAATACTGTAGATGTATTTAGCAGTGTTGTTAAAATAGCGCGCTACGCGCTACTTTTTTCAGTAGCGGTAGCTTTAGCTGGCTACTTTTTTTAGAAAATAGCGATAGCTCGTTACTTTCAATTTTACATAATAAATACATCTAAAAATTATTAAAATATATTTTTTATTAAATCTAAATTTTAATCTTTTTATTTAATTTAATTTTGAAATTTATATATTATAAATCTAGTTATTAAAAATGTATAAGATTGTTGAAGATAGCGAAATTTCTTGGAAAATGAGAAAAATATAGATTATCCTTTCCCAAAATTCAAAAAATACTTTAATCTTGTAGAAAAAATTACTACTGGATATCGGTTTCGATGCAAGAAAATTTTGCCAACTACTGGTAGAGTCTATGCTAAAAGACATTGAGAAAAGATCAAAACTTTATTTTTTATTTTCTATTATACAATTATATAAAATGAATGATTTATTGCTTGATTAGCCATAATTTAAATTGGCTTAATTTACAACACAATCTATAATATTAATATAGTATTAATATAAAATTCAAAATTAATATATTATTAATTACCTTGTGTATAATAATTATATTTTTAAAATCTTTATTTACCATAATTTAATGCTATTTTAATATTTTTTTATAAATGAATCTAAATCTCAGATAAATTTAAATTTTGAAAATTAAAAAGGTATTCTTCTAATTTTATAATTAATACAATCGCTTTATATAAATTAGATTTCCAGATCTGTATGTTCATCCTAGTTTTGACTGAATCTAAAGGGCAACTTGATAGGATGATGGTAACTTAAAAAAATGTCATGCTTAACCACGATACTAATACTATAGCAAGATCGAAACCGCGGCTTTCCATACACGATTTTTTTGAAATAAATAATAATAATAATAAGTTGAACCTCTAGATGCTTTTATTAAATCTAAAAATACTCATTTAAATATCTTTGATGAATTTTTTCATATAAAAAGTGTGCTTATTAAATTTAATACTGCGTTGCCCTCAAGTGCTAGTGCTGAACGATTATTTAGTATGGCAAAGCTTATACTTTCTGATCGTCGCTCTAGACTTGGGGATGACAGTACCAAAATGTTATTATTAATAAAGTGCAATATTAAATTATGTACATATATGTAACAAATTATAGTCATGTTTTTATACCAATATTTTATTTGTGGAAATAAAGTTATGTAAAAAATATTTTTAAAAAAATCAAAATAGCGTAAAAAGTAGCTAATAGCTCGCTACTCATTTGATAACGATAGCGGTAGCGATAGCGCGCTACTTTTAAAAGTAGCGGCTCGTTTTGAGCCGATTTTTAAAAACGGCTAACTGAATATTTTAGCCAGAAAAATATTGCTTAAGTCTCGAGATTTTATTAATATATGTCTAAACCTTTGTTCCTTCTATGAGCAAAATCTTCAGTTTTGCGTAATATTTTTCTGGTTAAAATATTGAGTTAGCCGTTTTTAAAAATCGGCTCAAAACGAGCCGTTTAACAACACTAAACACTGGTATTTAGTAGCATTATATTCGAAGTTTCTCTTTATTAAGTTAGTCTTTGAAATTTTTTAATCTTTTCTTAAGATATAAAATACTGGATCAAAACTAGGGAATTCTAAAGCTAAGCAAATTACATTATTATACTTAACATTATATATTTATACCTGGAATAATAACCTCCAAATGTTACATTACAATAAATGTAAAAAAAACTAATCCAAAAATTATTTTTTTTCCCCAACTTTTATATCACATTTGCATATTCAATAATATTAGTTATCATGGCATAAATAATTTTATAATAATCGTTTTTTCAAATAAATTCCTCAAAATTATATATTCAAATTTTTTTTCTTTCTCCTTTTCCAATACCCCTTCCCTTAGATGCCTCCATCTAGGGAACTATCTCCACTGGATTCAACAATTTTGGAACTTCATTCTATATCGTCATGATCGGTCTCATTATTGATGGTCTTAATTTGATGCGGACAGTACGTCATCAGATGATCGCCCCCACAAGCCCAGCATTGTCTTGGTCTAGGCTGACCATAAGGAACCATTCTTGCTGTTCGAGCATACCTTCGTGGAGTATCCATTCTCATATCATTTATCCTACAAAATCTTTTATCTTGCCCAAGGCTACTTTTGTTGATAAACCGCTGACAATCTATCCATTTTAAACCTGCATCTATCATGATAAAGTATTTTTTCTATTCTAAAAAATCTATATATATCCTTTCGCAAGTTCGTTTCTGGGCATTTATCTTCCTTGTTTCTTGCTGGTACATTAGTCTTGCTGGTACATTTGATCACATTTTACATGTGTCACAACTCGTAGCTATTTCTTTTAGATGGATCAATGACCTCAACGAACTGGTTAAGGCTAGCAAGGGAATAAGCTACTAGACTATATGGAGAATTGCTAAATAATATGAGAATGGAGACTCCACGAAGGTACGATCGAACGGCAAGAATGGTTCCTTATGGTCAACCTAGACCAAAACAATGCTGGGCTTGTGAGGGCGATCACCATGAGATACTATCTGAATCAAATCATGACCGTATGAGACCATGACGATACAGAGGTTTCAAAATTGTTGAATCAAGTGGAGATGAATCAAGTTCCCTAGATTGAGGTATCTAAGGGAAGGGGTGTTTAGGAGAAAGAAAAAATTTGAATATATAATTTTGAGGAATTTATTTGAATAAACGATTATTATAAAATTATTTATGCAATGATAACTAATATTATTGAGTATGTAAATGTGATGTTATAACTTTCAACATTTTTATAGTCAGGTTGTTCTCGATTCCATATGATCTCATCAGATTCTATCATAAGGGTTTTTTTTATTTCGAATCTATCACTTCAAAATTTAAAAAAAACTATCAAAAATGCAAAGTATTTTGCTTTTTAAATTTTAAACGCAAAGCGGAAATGTGCCAAATTTAAACGAATTGATTTAAAATGCATTGCGTTTTGAAACGTTCAATTTGTGCGCACTATTAGCCTGTACATGGGCTAGATAAAAAATTGAATAATATCAGCTTTATAAATGGACATTAACAATTTATTATCCAAAAAGAAAAAGATATTAAAAAAATTATTTAAGTAATAAAAAATAATATACCCCAATAAATAAATTGGCCAAACTCTGCCATGCCACTTCTTATTTTTAAGATATCACGATTCGATATAGATAGTACAATTTTTATAATTGATCCGAATTTTGAATAATCAACAAAGAACAATCTCACAATTATATCAAAATATCTGAATTTGACTATATCCATTTAAAATTAAATAATAATTCGAAGGGAGTGTTCGCCCATTGGCTTCAATGGATATACAGAGATCTGCCTTTCGAATACCTGGTCAAAATAATGGATAGTTACTTAGTTCAAGGAAGCAAAGTTCTATATCGCATAGCTCTTGCCATACTGATTCTCTTCAAGAAAGAAGGCAAAAAGTTAGTATATTCGTCCAAGCCCGTCGCCACTTTGACAAAATCGCACCATTTTTCGGGTTAAATTTATTTTTTGTTAAAAGTTCATTTTATGTTCCGATAAATATATTGGTCAAACTGGCTAATAAATAATTCAATATTATTGGGGGAGGTGGGGAAAGAGTGACGAAAGTTAAATATTCCTTAGAACTTATTGTATAGCTGAGCAAAAATTATAATTCAAATATATGATGATTAAAAATTTTTTTCATAAGGTTTTTATATAGTATTTTATTCTTATATTTTTTATCGAATATTTGATATAACATTTTATATGGGTGTAATAAAGTGTGAAACGTTGACGAATCAACTGTTACTTTTAAATGCAAGCTCAAGCTGAGGTAAATTCAAAATTCTAGTAAATGATTCCTTTTATATTGGGATTGGAATAAGAAACCCTTTTGACGTTTTCGCTGGGTTTTCGCTGGCAAGATACAACCTATGATGAAGCCAGTTAAAACACGATCTTAAAGTTGGTGACCTTTATTCCACTAAATTCAAATTTAAAATGTTTATATGATAATTAATTAGCAAATCCAAATCTATTAATAGTATAGCAGAGAGGAATCCCGCAGGTTGTTTGCAGATTCATAAACGACAAAGAAATGGTAAGGGGTATTTTTATGAAATTGGAATTACAATAACCGTCCAGTTTACTTGCTCAACACTATTGGAACATGCCCCATTCAAGAAACGGAGAGATCAGAAAAAATTCCGGGATAAATGTTAAAAGCCCCGATATCGTTATACAACAAATCGATAGGAGTGGTGTTTATCTTATAGATGAAAATGGTATCACCTATTGATATTGCTTATTTTTGACATGATATTGATTTATTCATGGCTCGTGCATCGTAAAGATTATATATCTATGAACTTACTTGCATGGGGAATTAAATCTCATAGATTTAAAATATCAGTGCTGAAACAGATCCTATATTAAAAAAACAAATATCAGTGGAGAGCGAGTTGTGGGTAAAATGTAGACAGGGAAATAAAAACTAGACATTACAAAAGGAAATAAGGCAGGATCACGCCACTAGCTTCTAATGGAACGAAAATTGCAGTACAGGAAACCAGATTATAAATTTTTAACAAAAGTTATCTACTTGAAATGTGATATGTGGCTCTTTGTTTCACACCAAAAATAATAGTTTTACAAATTTTTATATGAGTTAATTAATTTATATTATAAGGGTATATATCATCAGATACCTGAATCCCTGAAACTAGCCAAAAAAATTAGAATCCAGATCAGGTTTTTAAATAAAAAAATAAAGCAGGCCTGAATGAGGTCGTTCTATACTTTTTCTTTAAAGTACCATTAAAAACGTTCAAAAATCTGTAATGTGAGAAAATAGGCCACTTTTAAACGCTACGTTCCTAAGAAAATTTATTTTCATAAACCAATGTTCAAAATACTATGTTATTCTAGAATTTTGACATTTTTAGATAGTCATAAAATTATATCAAAATAACTCACCTATGTTAGTTTTAATTTAAGGTTTAAATTTATTAATAAGTATAATTTTTTTTTTTTTTTTTTTTTTTTACATTTTATTATTTATTAAATTCGTGATGTATAAAACATGATAAAATATAAAATAAAAATATTATATAAAAACCGTGGTGGGACTACAAGTTCCCAAAAAACAAAAATAATTATATTTTAAAATTATGATTTGTAGGTTTTGTTTTAAGAAATAAAATTCTTTAGTTTCTGATGTAAGGGCTCTTATCTTATCCCCTATATTTTTTAAAAACTTTAAAGTTCCACTTGGCATATGTCCAAGGGAAGTGATAACAATCGGTGTAAAAATATAATTTGTGAATTTGGAATATTTCATTGTTTTTTTTTTCTCGGCTATATCAACCGGATTAGAATTTAAATTTTTTGGGAAAGAAGATACGCATGTGAAGTCCCAAATTAAGGATTTCCCTAAAGACCAAGGCACGGAAGTTAAGCCATCAGGTCTTAGGCCATCATCTAACGATAAATTTGTAGGCTCCAGGATGTTTGGTATTCGGGCCCTGGTAAGAGAACGGCTAATAGCTAAATTAATTGCTGCATGCCTTGCATGCCTGCCTTGACTATATATACAATTTAGACCATGTCTCCCTTTGGAGTCAACTAATGTTTTACATTTGATGCATGTATGTGGTTGAACAATGTTACATCCAAGTCGATGGCCTATGGCAACTCTTAATTGTTCATCTGATAAGAGGTTACCTAGGTTACGACTTGGTAATGCTTCCAACCATTCATAACCACTAGTACAGTCAGCATTCTGTAATAGTTGAATATACTCCAAAGGGGGGTTTGATGAGATTATTTTAAAAAAATTTTTAATTAAAGGTTCGAAAATAGATTGGTGTGTTAAGATCGTGGGTAAGACAGCTTCAGGTGGAGCTAAAGATACCCAGGTTGTCAAGGCTGAGTTTAAAAGGTTATCTTTAGGAGAGATAAAAGAAGATATCATGGCGTTATTCATCAAACGCGATGCCAAAAATGAGGAAAGAGATAGAAGGTTTAAAGGATATAAATCTAAACCACCCATTTTCGAGGGTAATTGTGAGAAACCCCAATTAAAATCTTCCAATTTAATATTTAAAATATTTTCTAATAAGCTTCTAAAAAATTCATGAACACGATTAATAATTTCATTATTTAAAAAAAAGGAAGAAGATCTAAAAATATGTACAATCTTTGGTAAAAATAAATATTTTTTTAAAAGAAAAAAGCTCTGGTGTGAAGGAATTTCGTTTAAAATAGTTTCAAGACCTGATAAGCCTTCGAAAAATTTTTCCACGAACACCTCACAGTTGGAAAAACTGCTTAAAGGTGAACCTAGAAGATTAATTTCACTTTTTTTGATGATTTTAAACCCTTGGACTTTGAGAGTATTTGAATTTAAAAAGCATATTTCCGATTTAGCTTTATTTAGAGTAAGGCCTATGTTTAGAGAATTCTTCTCTATATAATCTATCGCTGCAAGAATATTTTTAGAAGGTCCGCAAATGGTACCATCATCTAGATACCATATGTTTAAATCTAAATTAAAAGAGGATTTTAGACAATGAACTAGGTTATGTATACCTAAACTAAAGATCAGAGGGCCCAAAGGGTCTCCTTGTTGAATACCTTCGTCAGAAGGAATTGTATATTCCCCGAATTTGAGAGGGGTTCTACAGCCATAAGACTGTTCAATAAATCTTGCATAAACTGGGAATTTTTCATAAAAAATGTTCAAAAATGTTTTTCTGGATAAAGAATTAAAAGCATTTTTAAAATCAAGCTTACAGACTACGGCGTCTGGAGGAGGATCTTCGATATATATGCGAAGAGAGTGAGCGGCTATTTCGCATCCCCCTTTGGTACCAAAGCCTAGTTGATATGTTTGGAACATTTTTGAAGCATCAGGTTTGATGCGCTCAACGATTATCTTAGCTAAAAGTCTCCTAAAAAAAGACCCTATTGCAATTGGCCGAACTCCACCATCAGGCTTAGAAAAAGCAATTAATCTTGCGCCAAAAATAATTTGGTGAATTTGACTAGGTAAATCATTGTTCAATATATTTTCACTAAGTATTATCATTGAATTTACAAATGAATCTTGATAAGGATTTTTAGGGTTAATTAAAAATTGGAAATAAGAGGGGCGAAAACCGTCAATTCCCCCTGCAGAGAATTATCATTTCAAAATATCTTTTTAGATTATAAATTTATGTATTGATTAACCTTAGTGCTCCGATTGTAGAATTCGTTATATCAACATTAATTTGAATGAATAATATTCGTATAATTTAAAAAAAACATTATCATTCATCCATCAACTATAAAAAAATATATGATTGCTATAGTGCTAAAATTTTTGAACTACTACTAGAATAAACATAATATACTCTAAAATATTTATTATGGATTCCAAATATATTAAAAAACTTATACATTTTACATCACCCAAGTTATAATATAAATATTGCACATGCGCAAATCATGTTATATGAATAATTAATTTAGATAATTAAGCTAGGTAATCATTTTAATATAAAATAAATATAAGCAAAACGAAAGTTATTTTAGGTAATTTCCTCAAAAATATATAGCTGAGATTTTAAAAATAGCAAATTAACTCATTACAAAATTTTTTATGGAATTTTTTTTTACTATTCAGATAATATTCGTGACTAATAAAATGAAGCTATTCGAATGCGGATAATGATGTTCGGATAGTAAAAATACGAATATATTAAATCTGAAACATTCAATATCCCATTGAATAAAATTTCATTCTATTCGTAAATAATATAATATAGAAAAATATTAAATGAACTAAGTGTTTCCAATATTAAACTCTTGCTACTTTGTGGAAACTCTCTAAACATTCTAATTTTGTTTAAAATATAAATCCACGATTTATAATACAAGAATATATTGTCCTTTGCCATGGACATTACTCATGAAGTGTTTCACTGTCATAATTGAATCAACATATTATCACGGAACTCAGGCTTAGAGCTTCAATTGTCTTTATAATTAGCTATATTTTTAGTCCAAATAACACATGGAGAGTTGTATATCTCCTAATTTCGCTAAGAGTTATGGATCAATATTTTTTTGGTTCGGCGTTACAAATTAGTATCGAATGAAAGAATATCGATAAAAGATTCATTTATAAATGTAATATATATATCGGTGGATAAAATAAATCCATTTTTAATAATGATATTGGGCCAAATGTTTTATTAAATGTGATAAATTAGGTGAAGAATAATTTTTTTACCAAATTGGATCATTATTATCATTTACAATGACTCTTCATATAACTTTCTTCAGAACTTCATTCATTAGCATTGCTTACAATTTCATTTTGTCTGATTAATATTTAGCACTGAATAGATATCAAGCGAAAATCCTTCAGATAAAATAGTGAAATAAAAAAATCTAGAAGATTTGGTTGAAAAAAGGTAATTAAACAATTTTATAAAAGATAAAAATTATAAATTGCAAATATTGAAAAGTATACAAAACAAATTATATAAAAATTATAAATTTGAATGAAAATACATAACTAGAATGATAAATATAATATTTAAGAGAATATAATGTATTAGAAAATTAAAAAAAATACTTATTTTCATTTAAATTTAAAAAAAAGGGCGCGTGAAACGTAATTTTTTACAAATGCGCCAAACTATAGACTTATAAAATATATTATATGTTTACAATAAGAAATGGTATATCCATATATACTTTTACAAAATCATTTATCTATTTAATCTATTACAATAAATTGTAGCTTTTAACCAAATTAACAAAATATAATTTATATTAATACATTACACTCCACAAACATTTTAAAAAAAGAATTATTTTAATATAAATTTCAGATTGTTTTATTTTATATGATTTACTCTATAGGTTCGAGAGTGATATTCTTTAGGAGCCCTAATTAATATTATTTTAGTACATTTATAAAATATCTAATTTTTATGTTTATTTACAAACGACATAAATAAAATCAACACCTAAAAAAACGATGGAAAAAAAATAAAAATATTTTTGATGAGTTTACTAAACCAAATCTTTAAAAAAAATATATGGTATTTTAAGCGAAATTTTAAATAAAACAATTTATCTCGTGCGTGACTCAGATATAGTTATTTTTTAAGTGTATTCTTGATATCCATAGTTGATATTGAATTGTATAAAACGATAGAATAAGTATAAAAAGATAATATTTAAATTATTCAAAATTTCTTTATTTTTTATAAAAGTTTTCCGAAAAATACATTATGATTCAAAATCCTAACAAAAAAAGTATGAATCAAAATCCATAAAAATTGTATTTAAAAAAAAATATATTATTATAATAATTATTATTTTTTTTACATTAAATAATAATAATTTTTTTTCTCCAATCAGATTACAATCCATCTGATTGACATGTGAGGCTTATATATATATATATTTTATACATATTAGAACAGTTATCAATATAAATCTTAAAAATATTGTCGCATTTTTTTATAGTTTGTATTATATTTTGCTACCAGGTCTTTATCTTTGGCATACTTTTTGTTCTACTCGTAAATTCGAAGATGATAGGGCATCAATTGCTTTTAATATATTTATATTTTCCTCGCAGAATTTTCTTTGCAATTCTGGCTATCATTAAGCGTAAAATTGCTGATTATATTTGGGTTCTATTTTCTTTTACACATGTCGATACAGAAGATGTAGTTTTGTCAAAATAGGAAATATGGCTTGCCGAAACAAAATATTTAGGCATGCTAATGGAAAAAATAAGCCATGCTAAAAAAAATTATGACGTGCAGAGCACGTTTTGTCACTACACCAGCTACGCTTTTAAGAATATATCTAGAAGAAAAAATTCTTAAAAATCGATTATTTAACTATACATTTATTATTTTTTAGCTTTAGATTCTCAACAAAATAATCAAACAACCCCTCGCAATATATCGCTTTTTCATCCCCCAATTCAAAAACGCATTCCGGAAGCGGAAACGAGTACTCTGAAAACGTCTTCATCCACAGCTACCATTACACATGGTGGTTCTACTGGTAATTATACCATTAATTTGTAAAAAAAATTTAAAAAATAGGGTTTGAAAAAAAAAATCAGAAAGAGACTTTAAAAAATGAATAAAATTTTAAAGGTAAGATAGTTTCTAATGATTAGAAGAATATAATAATTAAGTGTTTATAGTAATATTTAATTATTTCTTGAAATTAAGAATTCGGTATTTGATAATAAAAAAAACATGATTTCGTTAAAAAATTTGATCCAGCTGAATTCCCTGTTAAAAAGACTCAGATCATATTTTACCGGACCAGTTTGATGAAACCCAACTATGGTCATTTCCAATCGCAAAATTTTTACTTCCAAACAGGGATGTGAACCCGGACCCTGAACCCTCGTATTTTGGCTGAACCTGAACCTGGACCCGGACCCTTTTTAAAAGTGAAGGGTTCCAGGGTTCTAGGTGTCATAAAAAATTTTAAAATAAAAATATTTTTTAAAAAAATAATATAAATTTTATGTGGAATCATTTATTATATCTTCGCGTTTTTCTTTCAATTTTCTTCCTGGACTTCCATTTTATTTAGAGATTGATATCATAAATTATTTTCCAGTGTAATAATATTTTATTATGTAAATTTATTAATGTTATAGAAATACGTTGATTATTTTGAAAGTGAATTATTTTGTAGTACAAGCAGGGTTGGGCAGTATCGCGGATATTTGTATCTTTTTTAAAATTTTGAAAAGTATCTTGTATCCAGTATCTAAAATACATATTATTTAAAAGTATTTGTATCTTAACCAACTTTGTATTCAAAAAGATACAGATACTTTAAAAAAAATTTATATTGGTTAATTTAATTTAAATAGTATTAAAATTTAAAATGATATTTTTTAAGATTTAAAAAATTTAATCAAAATTTAGATATTTTAAGATAATTTTTGATATATGACGTTGGTCGCTGTCTATTTTAAAATTATGGAAGAAGAAAATAGAATAATATGTTTATCTTCGTCTTCAGATGATTCTTCAACCGAAAATTATAACAATAACTAAGCATACTTAATGGCAAATTTTTTGAAGTACTTCAAGATTATCATAATAAAGAAATTCATTGTGACTTTGGTATTGACGAAAAAGTTATAGCAACTGTTACAGATAACGGCTCTAACTTTAAGAAAGCTTTCAAGGAGTTTGGATATTCTATGGAAGCTGTAGAGAATGACTTTGACATCAATGATGATGAATGTATAGAATTCTAAATCATTGAAAGTATTATTTAATACTTCTTTAAAATTTATTATGATATTGTAAATTTAGTAAAAAATTTTACTCAAATAAAATTATTTATTTGTTTATTTAAGGGTTTAAAGAAGCCTCAATAACATTACCTCAACACATTCGCTGTTTGTGCCATACGATAAGTCTAATTGCTACAACAGATGTCGAGAGAGCTATTAAGGATTCTCCTAACATTTCTAAAATTCATCATCCTGCAATAGCTAAATATACTAAGCTATGGAATGCAAATAATAGGCCTAAAACTGCAGAACTTATCAAAGCAGTTTTAGGAAAACAATTAGTTACACCTTGTTGCACTAGATGGAATAGTTTGTATGATAGTCTTCATAGTTTATTAAAATTTAAAGGCGAACTTCCTAAATTATGTCAAAAATTAGAATTTCCTAAATTAAGAGATATTGAAATTCAATATTTAGAAGAATATTGCAATATAATATGGCCCCATTGGCTATAGCGATTGACAAAATACAGAGTGAAATCAACTGCTATTATGGAGAATCAGCTCCAATTTTAAATGTCGTTAAAAAAAATTACAAATTTAATTCAAACCAATCTACAATTTTGCAAACCATTAGCTATTGCCATAGAAAATTATTTAAATAAAAGATTTAAAAATATATATGATTTTGATAACAATTTTAAAAGTGCATTTTTGGCAACTATTTCTCATCCCTATTTTAAAAATCGTTGGATTGATGGTGAAAAAGAAAAAAAATACCTTCAGGATTTGTTATTACATGAAGTTTTAATTGTTTTTAAAAATAATATTGAAATTAATACTTCAACAAAATCTTCAATTGATGAAGATGATGATTACTTTTGCCTTAAAAGTACCACATCCAATTCTAATAATTCAATGAATGATATTGAAATAGAGGTCCTAAATTATATGAAAAGGCGGAGTATAAATATGTTAAATAGTTATAAATATATAAAAGAAATATTTATTAAATATAACACAATATTACCCTCCTTAGCCCCCGTTGAAAGATTATTTAGCTTTGCTATATGGTTAATAGACCAAATCGTCAAAGATTGAACGATAAATCATTTGAAAATTAATAATAAAAATAATGCTGATATATGATGCTGATTTATTATTATTTACTAATTATATAATTATTAAATGGAATATCGCATTATCTTTTATAATAAATTTGTTTTTATTTTAAATATTTTTTTATAAATTTATACTACATATAAGAAAATAAAGCTTTATACATTTTGATTTTGACTTTAATGTTTTTTAAAAAAGTATCTAGTATCTTAGATACTTTTTTTTAAAAAAATACAAGTATCTTGTATCTTATATCTTATTGAAATTTTTCTAAAGTATCTTGTATCTTAAATACAAAATTTTATAAAGTATCTGTATCTGTATCCGAATACAATTTTCTGAAAATTTGCCCAACCCTGAGTACTAGTAATAATATTTTAATTTAAATGATAATGCACAACACGTTGGTCCTCAATTTATATGATGCTAGAACGATTATTAATTGAAAGATTTCTGTAATGATTTTATTATAAGAGCATGTGAAGTCATTTTGTCGGAAGATGATTGGTGCCAAATAAAGGATCTTACTAGTGTATTAAGTGCATAGTTGCTTTAAAAATAACAATATTAATCAGAATAATTATTTTATTTGATTTTAAGGCATATAGATTAGATGCCGATTAGATTTAGAAAAATTTACAGTCCTTTTATACGAAATATTAGAAAACATGAAAATTCGAGAGCAATTATATTTGCAAAATAGTGTTGTATACGCTTCTATATATTTAGACCCTTGATATCAAGTTTTATTGAGTATTGAGAAAAAACAAATGGCTAAAGACCATCTTAAGGATTTATGGCATAAGCAAAACTCCATTATTTACAATATGGAGGCTACGACAATACCTATTGGTTGTAGTGATAATAATAATGATAGCAACATTGATGATCTTGAAATTTTACTTTTAGATATAGAAGAAAAAAATATTATCATCAGATAGAAAGGAGGATCAAAAAATGCCTATTGCATCTTTAATAGTAAAGTTCTCAGAAGTTAAGAGAATAAATAAGGATATAAATATTTTAAAATTCTGGGAAAATCCTTCAATATATCCAGAATTATATATCTTATCTAGGATCTTCATGGCTGTACCGGCGACACAAGTACAATAATTTTATAAAGATAACTATCTATTTTAGGTAAGGGTAGAACGTGAATTTTCATCTTTGAAATATATATTGTCTACTTTACGTGGAAATCTCAGATGATATTTTAGAAGATATTATGATTGTGCGAGAATAAAACATTTAAAATATAAATTATTTCATTTTAAAATTTTCATTTGTAAATTATGAATATATATATATATTGAAATATAATAATAAATGAATAAAAAAATCTTATTTTGAGTCATTATTTTTATGTCCCTGAACCCGAACCCTGGTCCTTTCAAATTTTATTCCTGTACCCAAACCCCGACCCTTTTTTTTTGTCGAAGGTTCACATCCCTGCTTCCAATCAACAAACAATTTTTTATTATACAGCTGATTTTTATATTATAAAATATTTTAATAAATAATTTGGGCATAAAAGTACTATATCCCCAGAAAAGGGATCAATGTTACTTTAAAGCTAATATTATTTACTTATTAAAATAATAAAAAAAGCATGCTAAGTACTTACAGGACCAAATTATTTTCAAATGGCCTATACAAGCAGAATAAGCAAAATGAATATTTAGAGGGATAAGTTATCTAAGAGAAAGATAAGACTAAATTTTTAAATAGTTTTATTAAAATATTATTCACCAGATAAGTTTATAAATTTTTATTAAAATTTACATTAATAAATGTAATAACATAAAAAAAATATAGGCAATGAATTACTTAATACAATATATGTTTTACAATAGTTATTTCTTAAATGCATTTAAGAAAAATAAGGGCTAAAGATAGATAATCTATTGATGCTGCTATAACTTATAAAGAATTAAAATTACATATGGTATTCCACAAACTATGTAATAAAGTTGCAAGATTTTTATTTGTAAATATATAATTTTTTATTATAATTAAATGAATATATTTAAATTATCTAAAAAATTTATACAAATTGTAAAAAATATTTCATTAACAACATATCTGTCATATTAGGTTTGTAATTGTTCTAAGATATTCTGGGATAAATGTAATATCTGATCTGCAAAATATCATTTTTATAATAATTATGGTATGGATAGTTATATAAATTCTATTATCATAATTTCCTTAAATTCAATGAATACCTATTTTAATTTGTTACTATAATCTGATTTAACATTAATACAATATATGATTTTCGTTAAATTAATTAACATTTTAATATATTTTGTCTTTTACTATAAATTATATATTTTATTTATTTATTTGCACATTTTATTTATCAATCAACTTATATTTGTATTTATAAGATTATCATAATTTAACTTAACATTTATTAATTTGATTTCAATCGATTTAACTAACCCATTTATGTTATGACCTCTGGTAAAATTGTGATACAATATTTTTACTAGAAACCTGCAGAAGGTACCATTAGAACTGCCCTATCCAGATTTTTTTTAAACAAACGCCCCCGGCCCTGATTTTTTTAAAATATATTACATTAATTTTTATAGCTAATAATAGCAATTTAAAATATTCGGTTTTAAAATATACAGCTCGACCAGGGTATTTTTTTAAAAAATTAGGCTTGGCCC